TCATCTGATTGCCATAAACTTTTACTCTTCTTCAACAAGGTCGGAATTGTTTTAACTAAGCATTCAATGAAATAAATGGAATTATTTATCCCTAGGACCATACTACACCTCCTCATAGAAATGCACACTTAATAAGGCTAACCAAAAAGATAAAATTGTCAGCTCTAAAACTATTAGCTAAGGTAAAAGATCGTTTCATCATTTATATTAATAACAAGGACTCAACAATTCAGGATGTGTCATATTAAATGCTGCTGTTCTTTGGCGATTTCAAATCCTGATGAAGTAAATCAGTTACTTCAGTAATAATCTCTCAATCATCCCTCGTTAGCCATTTGTCAGCATTCCTAAATAACTTGTAATATAAAGAAAAATAATATAAAAATCAAGGCACTGTAATTACTCTTCCCCAGATGTATATAATACAGACCATTCAGAGCATGCTATCCCAAACTCCTCAGTATTCTACAACATAGAATTAGAAAACTATCATTTATTGATAGATTTAAGGTGTAATACAGGTTTCCAAAAATGTGGCAGTGAGAATACCAGCATAAAAAAGAGAAACTTGTGCTAAAAACAACCTGAATTCATCATTGGCAATATTACATAACAATCAAAGCCCTCACATACTAATGATTTCCACTTCGTCTATATTGCCAACCTCCCATGCATCAAAAAAAAAAAAAGAAAGAAAGAAAGAAAGAAACCACAAGATTATCAAACTTGGGAAGCAATAAAGTACTCTGAGTTTTAAGATCATAATATTAGGAAAGTTTGGTCGATTTGCAAAATATATCCTCATCATCCATGTGTACAATCTCATTTCTAATCATTTTTGCAGTAATCATTAGTGAATAAAGAACAAATTTACAACTTTATATAGCAGGGCATCTGGGTTCAACACAAAACTGTTACAAACTTTAGGTAAATACATGTTTCATAAGACACTGCTAACATTTAAAGAAATTAAATAAAATTCCACATCTTGGAAAGCAAATAAAGACAAGACAACTAAGAAGCATTTTCCACCATTTACTCTTGTTATCAAAAATAGTTCAACTCTTCTTGCAAAACAAAAACAAAATAGTACATACTGGACACATACATCACATTTTTCTTCCTATGGCTTTTGCCCACCCCCACCCCACCAAAAGAGACCAAAAACAAAAAAAAAAACAAAAAAAAAAAAACCCAACGACAACAACAAAAACAACTCTACCTGACCACATTCACAGAAAATGACACCAGGATACACTACAAAACAGAAGGAGGTGTCATCTGCTCTGTGTCCAAAGGTTTCTTCTCCATGTCTTGTACTAGGCGAGTAACCATCATTGAACATGCTGTGTGCCAAATCAAAACATAACTTCAACATATGTCAGATCTTACTAGAGATGGTGAACGTAGTAGAAATTGGAAATGTTCCAGCAGTATTTTTCTTTAAATAAGCATTGTCAAAGCTGCAGCTCTTCTTTTAAATCATAGGTTATTTCATTATACCTAGTCAGTCCTTGTTTTATTTGGGCTGTGCTCTTTCAAGCAACTGACTAGATTTCCCTTCAACAGAATGTTTGTGACTCACTTGTCTTCCCCATAAAAATTAACGGGAAGAAGTGCATTTAAAACTGAAACATACTTTGTGCTTTACATGCAAAAGAGCATTCTAAAGAAAATCCTCCTAGCTTCAACCTACCTAAATACACAGGCTTCATAAAAAGGCATGTTTATTAGGCCTCTATAAAGAAGCCTTCATAATGAACAGCATCCAAAAAAAGAAAAACATATTCAAAATAAAGACTGTGGCAAATAAACTATTAGCAAAAACAAATATCAAAGTGGCGGCCAGTGGCAATAAGTACAATACATAAATCTGGGTAAGTCTGGGGGCATTATTCTGAAATTATTTTAAGTAAATCCCAATTACTAAATAAAAACTTTTTATAATTTTTAAAAAACTCTGTCATATACTATATAGTCTAAATTCAATTACCTTCAGAATAAAATTACTCTCCTTCACTTCATTTATCCAATTAGAACACTGCTCAAAGTGAAGGAGGGATTTAGAATTTTTTTCCCCTAGAAATGAATGAGAAACAGTTAAACATTTGTAGTCTGACAGAATTTCAGTTTACCTTTTTAAAAGATTTCTTAAACATTCTAATGAGGGGGGAATTTTTTTTCATAATACTGCTGATTTAAGAACTGCTACATACACCAGTAGCCAATTTTCATGATCAGAAATGGTATAATGTCAGCACAAAGGTTGAACTGGACACATCAGCTTTCCAACAGGAGAAACATCAATGCCATGTGAAGGCAGCACTGAATTTCCTGAACTAATGGCTACTTTTCCACAAAAAAATTAGCACAATCTTTATGGACTGACTAGATACCACTTCCTTACATTTAATCATAAACTTTGATTATGCACAAAGCATGACCATAAACAATGAGGTTAATGTTATTTTCCTTGCCAAAGTTCATTTTGTATAAATCAGTTGCATCAGCTTTGTTCTCAAACTATAAGGTTCTGTAAGAACTAAGGACATATAGTTGTAAGGTTACTCCTCCATTATCTGCAAACTATTTCCCCGACACTAACACATATAACTTAGCAATGAAAACACTTGATACAAGTGATCTATATGCAGGAGCTCCGGCAAGTTAAACCAACAGAACCATAGCTGCCGTAAAACTGTAGCTATTTCCCTACCAGGAGTAGGTTCAAAAGACCCACTGCTTTAACAGTCGAATCTCATGTCTATAGCTTCATCCAAACTTTTATCATCATGTGTACTGGCAGCTAAAAACGTCGTTACTGGGGACCCTGTGACATTTATTACACTGGTGCTGGTACTAGCGTTACGCACAGCAATGCTAGTCACATTAATGCCCAAAGTGAGCCTGGTCTGCTCCAAGGCCTTTTCTGGCACAGCAAATGCCTCCAGCTTCTTCTCCCCATTGGCCATATAGGAGTTTTGGCAGCCACGACATATACAATCTAAGCAGGCTTTGCGGTTAGAGTAGCAAGGGCAGCGTTGGCCTCGGCATGTAAGAACACTTGGATTTTGAGTAGCACGCCCACATTTACACCCTTTCTTTTCCTGGGGTTTTTTGTACACAGTCTTGGTAGGACTTCCTGGCATAAAATGATGACTAGGAATCTTTTCCTTTACTGCTTTGTCTTTTTTAAGAATACCTGGCTTGGTTTTAGAGTGAGATTTCTTGGATCCATGTTCATGACTCTTTTTCATGCTTTTAGTAGATAAAAGTACAGTTTTGCTGATTTTAGGCGTTGTGCCTCCATTGGGAACAGTTGCTATAGGTTGAAGAGAAATTTTGCTCTCCCGTTTCACTGTCACAGGAGCAGATGCCCCCAGTGTTGGGCCTCGTATAATGGTAGAAATTGGAAGTGGCTGAACTTTCTCACTGTCGCTCTCTGATCTGGATCGTTTTCTATTCAGTTTTGCTACCTTCGGAGTTGCTGCTGTACATGATAACCCATGAAGTGCAGGACTGGTGGACATAAAAACATTATGGCTAAGAGACTGGGAAGAAAGCTGCAGAAAAGGTCCATTGGATACAGTGGCTTCCAAGTTTGGCTGCAAATTAGGGCAACAAACCTCTGTATTTGAAACAGTTTCTAAGCTGCGGAGTACTTCCTCAACACTCAGTAACAGAGAGTCTCCAGGTTTTATATCTTCACTGAAACTGCAGATATCAATGCCTGTAGAACATAAGTCAGTGGCTACCGTGTCACAAACAGGTGGCAGGCTGTCAGATAGATCCTCAGTTTTAATGTCAACAGTGTTACATACATCAATCGTATTTGAATGTTCAGGTGAAGGAATATTTATACCAAATCTATCTATTGAAAGCCCATTATAAGTAGGCAAACCATTGATAACAGAACTGCCAATAGCAATGCTGAGGGTGCTTTCAGACATTGGAGATAAACTAGCTTGAGGATCGGTTGTGGGTTCTGAGGTTGAAGGTAAAGGGGAATGTGTCAAACACAAAGTAAAGGATGAATCTGAGGGTTTTTCTGTCTCCTCACAAAACAATGATCCATCATTAAGCAAAGCCAAAATATCAGAAGAACAGTCAACTGCTTCTATTATATCCCGTGCCAGTGTAGTCTGTGTTATATATTCGCATAGTTTTTTGTAGCAGTTCACTAGGATGCTTAACTGCTTGTTTTCCTCAAACTGCTCATAGTCTTTGCACCAGCTACACGAAGGTTTCATCATCATTTTCTTGCCTTTACAAGTTTTGCAGACATAGTGTTGGCAGGTGGAGTTGGTGGGTGCAATAGGATCTTGTAGCAAATGTCCTAAGGGGGAGAAGGAGGAAAGCAAAGATTTTAGTAAAATAAATTTACCGTTTCATAAGCTGAAGTTTAGATGATGTAAATAATCTGTCAAAATTAAGACGAACTAAACTCACTAGACCAGATAACAAAAAATATTATCTTAGAAGAAATGGAAGAATCCTCAATTAGCTCACTTCATTTCATGCCATATTCCCCATTCCTTTATCTCAAACTAAAATGATCCTTGATTCTGTGTGTCTCTCTCTCCAAGCAGTATGTTCTGGTCCACCTTCTTATCCTCTTCCTCCAAAGGCTATAAAAAATAAAGTTGAAGAGGTGAAGATCAGACACCAAAAGCACAAACCAGGGTTAAAATCCTTTGGATAGCCAGGTGTGGTGGCGTGTGGCTGTAATCCTAGCTACTCAGAAGGCTGAGGTGCAAGAATGGCTTGAGCTCTGGAGTTCGAGTCTACAGTGAACTATAATCCTGTCACTGCACTCCAGCCCAGGTGACATGGCAAGACTCAGTCTCCAAAACAAACAAAAAAATCTTTTGGACCTTAACGTAACACAACATGGTAATGCTACAACATACTGAACCTGACAGCCGAAGGAGTCAAGCTTGTGCCATTGCACTCCAAGCCTGGGCAACAGAGCGAAACTCCGTCTCAAAAAATAAATAAATTTTAAAAAAGAAAGCGGCATTCATCTCAGGGAAACCTGGCCTCAGGGAAACCTGGCCTTCAGAGATGACAGCATTCAGCCCCAGGAGGAGCCCGGAATTCGTCCTCAGTCTTCCCAGCTTGCACTGCCCATGGGGATACAGGACAGTAAGGAGCGAAACAGAACCTGCTGCCTGAATGGGGGAACCTGCATGCTGGGGTCCTTTTGTGCCTGCCCCTCCTCCTTCTACAGACAGAACTGTGAGCACGATGTGAGCAAAGAGAACTGTGGGTCTGTGCCCCATGGCACCAGGCTGCCAAATAAGTGTTCCATGTCTAAATGCTGGCATGACCAACTCCGCTGCTTTCCTCAGGCATTTCTACCTGGCTGTGATGGCCCTGTGACAGATGAGCACCTTATGGCTACCAAGACTCCAGAACTACCACTGTCTGCATGTACCACTTTTATGCTTTAAAATAATGAATACTTTTCCATAATGATCTATAACACTTCCTTACTGTACCAACTACTTCTTATCTCTTTGCTCTGCCCTCCCCCCAAAAAACTACTTTTTTTTCCAAAGTCAGCCATACCTCCATTGTGCCCAAGTCCAGTACTTCTTTATACATGTAATTCTACCAAGGTCTTCTTAATATGTTAAACAACTGAATTACATCTTCAGATTATTAAAGATTAATCCTAATGTGGAACTTAGGATATAGTTTTGAGTAGAGTTGATCAAAATCAATTAGTCTCTTTAAAAGGAAAAAAAGCCTCTTTAAGGAGAGGAACCAGAGTGCTAGTAAAGGAAGTCTGTCTGCATGTGGAAGGGAATGGGAAGCAAATGGGAGAGAAAGGCTGAAAAACCTAAAATGGGTTACTTGACTGGGTGATTATGTGGGTGTAGAGAAGCAAGTTAAAAGGCTAAATGAAGGGCAAGTTTCCATCATCTATAAAAAGCTATGTAAGCCAAGGACTTCCCCTTTCTTTCTAAAGGCAATGTAAAATGAATGACGTCTCCTTAGAAAAAAAAAATTATGCTCAATGTCCCCAACAAAATTGCTTAATAAATTAGTTTTCTCCAAGCTAAGCAATTCTTTTAACTGCTGAAGAGAAAATGTTTACAATATATTTAGTCATAAACTGAATGATAAAACTACATATTGTAAAGCCCATTTTAAAAATACACTGTATATATGTGCATCTACAGTAAAAATGTGTGTGTGCACACACGCACGCATGTGTATTTATATAAAGCAAGGTCTCAAGTCAATAACCAAACCTTACTTTCACCTTAATAGGAATCCCAAATGAAGCAGGTTAAAGCAAATAATAAAGATGACAGGAGGCTGGCCGCAGTGGCTCACATCAGTAATCCCAATACCTCCGGAGGCTGAGGTGGGTGGATCACCTAAGGTCAGGAGTTTGAGACCAGCTTGGCCAACATGGCAAAACTCCCTCTCTACCAAAAATAAAATATTTATCCAAGCATGGTGCACACCTGTAATTTCAGCTACTCAGCAGCTGAGGCAGAAAAACTGCCTAAACCTGGGAGGAGGAGGTTGCAGTAAGCCAGGATCATGCCACTTCACTCCCACCTGGGCAACAGAGCCAGACTCTCTCAAAAAAATAAAATTAGGCCAGGCGATGGCTCCCACCTATAATCCCAGCACTTTGGGAGGCCGAGGCAGGTGGATCAGGAGTTCAAGACCAGCCTGGCCAAGATGGTAAAACCCCATCTCTACTAAAAATACAAAAGGGAGCCAGGCATGGTGGCGGGTGCCTGTAATCCCAGCTACTTGGGAGGCTGAGGCAGAAAACTGCTTGCACCTGGGAGGCAGAGGTTGCAGTGAGCCAAGATCATGTCACTGTACTCTCCAGCCTGGACAGAGCAGGATTCTGTCTCAAAAAAATAAGTAAATAAATAAATAAATAAATAAAAATAAATAAATACAGATTAGAGCAGAAACCAATAAAAGAGAAAGCAGAAAAACCTGAGAAAAGTAAATAACACCAAAAGTTGGCTGCTTTAAAAGATCAAAGAGTTTGGCAAATCTTAATTGCTAAGTAAAAAAGAAAACACAGATTACGAAAATCAGGAACGAAAAAAGTCAGAGTATCACTGGTGCCCTACAAGATGTGAAGAATTAAGAAAATCCTATAAAAAGTTTATGCCAACAATTTTAGACTACTTAGATGAAATGGACAAATTTCTTTAAAGACACAAATGACCAAAATTGAAGAAAAGGTTTTAAAATTGAAGAGACCTGTAGTAAAAGTTTTAAATAGCTACTGAAGATTTTCCTCAAAAGAAGACTCCAGGGCTAAATGCCTTCACTGGTAAATTCTAACAAATAATTAAAAAGAAATAACATCCTAACACAGAGGAGGAGAAAACACTTCCCAACTCATATTTAAAGGTCAAACTACTCTGAAAATAAGGCCACCAGACAAAAGAAAATACAAACCAAAATATCCCATAAACATAACAAAATCCATAACAAAACATTCAAGAGGATCTCACCACATACAATACCTATTCTCTCTCACACACACACATTAACAAACTAGAAATACAACTTTAACTTGATGGTGGTGGGCATCAATAAAAAATCTAAAGCCAATTTTTCTTAAAGATAAAACACAATGCTTTCCATCCAAAGATCAGGAACAAGGAAAGAATGACTGCTTTTGCTACTTCTTTTCAAAATAGTACCTGTTCTAGCTGGTGCAGTAAGGTTCAAAAGAAAAAAAATTAAAGGCATCAAGACTAAAACGAAACAGGTAAAACTGTTTTAGTAATGGATTACACAATTCTGCTTACAGAAAAATCTCAAGAAACGCACACACAAGAACTACTAGAACCAATAAACAAATTTAGCAAGGTCCTAGCAGAAACAATATATACAAAAGTCCACTGTATTTTCCTTTTTATATGCTAGGAATGAACAAATTAATTTTTTAAAATTCCATTCACAATAGCATCAAGAATATACTTAAAATACTTAGAAAAACTTTAACAAAGACTTCTACACTCAGTACTGCAAAACACAACTGAGAGAAATTAAAGAGTATCTAAATAGACATTTCATATTCACAGATTAGAAGACTATCAATATTGTAAGGATGGCAATTTTCCCTAAAATTGATCTATCTGTAAATTCAATGCAATCTTTAATCCCAGGGAGCTTTTTTTCTTGAAGAAATTGGCAGGCTGCTTCTAAAATTCATATAGAATCACAGAGGACAGGCAAAACAACTTTGAAAAACAATAAGGTTACAGGACTTACACTACCAAATTCCGAATTTTACTATAAAGCCATAGTAATCAAGACAGCATGGTAATGGCAAAAGTACAGACACATAGATCAATGGAACAGAATTCAGAATCCAGAAACAAATTATTACATTTATGGTCAACCGATTTGTTGGGTACCCAGATGATCCAATGGGGGAAAGGAGAGTATTTTCAACATATGATATGAAATAATTTGATACCCAAACACCAAAAGGAAAAAAAAACTTACACCCGTACCTCACAACATACACAAAAATTAAAATGATGACAAACCTTAATGTTAAGAGCTAAAATACAGAAATCTAGAAAAAAAATCACAGGAGGAAATCTCTGTGACTCTGTATTGGCCAAAGTGTTCTTAGATGTGACATCAAATGCACAATCCACAAAAAAGAAAAAAAAAGTAAAATGGATTTTCTCAAAATTAAAAACTTACTGTGCTTCAAAAGACACCATTAATGAAAAAAAATAAGCCAGGTGTGGTGGCTCACACCTGTAATCTCAGCACTTTGGGAGGCTGAGGTAGGCAGATCATGAGGTCAGAAGTTTGAAACCAACCTGGCCAATGGGGCAAAACCTCATCTCTACTAAAAATATAAAATAAAATTAGCCAGACATGGTGGTGCACATCTGTAGTCCCAGCTACTTGGGAGGCTGGGGCAGGAGAATCGCTTCAACCCAGGAGACAGTGGTTGCAGCGAGCCAAGACCATGCCATTGCACTCCAGCCTGGGCGACAGAGCAAGGTTCTGTCTCAAAAAACAAAAACAACAAAACAAAACAAAAAAAGAAATCAGTAAGATGACAATATAATTTTAAAAGCAAAAATCTGAATAAACATTTCACCAAAGAAAATACATGAATGACTAATAAGCACATAAAAATATGATCAATATTATTAGTTATTAGGTAAAGTAAAACCATGGCACACTACTACCCATCCATTAGAATGGCTAAATTCAAAACCATAATGCCAACAGTTGGCAAAGATGGAACCCTTGTATATTGCTGGTAAAATGGTACAATCACACTAAGAAATACTTTGGTTGTTTCTTTAAAAGTTAAAATATAAATTTACCGCAGAACCCAGCAAAATTATATTTCTAGGAAGCTGCCTAAAGAGAAGTCAAAACACATCCACACAGAAAATGGCGGCATGATGGCCAAAAATTACACACAATCCAAATGTCCATTAATTGGTGAGTGAATAAACAAAATGTATATTCATGCAATGGAGTTCAGCAATTAAAAGGAATAAAGTATTGGTACATGCAACAACATGGATAAGCTTCCAAAACATTTGCTAAGTGAAAGAAGCAGATACAAAAGAGTACATTATTATATAATGCCCAGAAATGACAGAAAAGCAGAAAAACTGGTTACCTAGGGCTGAAGAGTGGAGCAGGAATTAACTGTAAATGGGCACAACGTATGAAAGTGTTCTAAAATCATATTGTGGTGGTGGTTACACAACTCTAAAATTTAAAAAACACTTTAAGACAAGGCACCAATAGCTACAGAATCCAACCTACCCAATGCCAATGCAAGGATCCCTTAAAGAGTGCCCTTAACTTCATCTAAGGAAGGACACAGGGGATATGAAGGGGGGAAAAAAAATACTACAAACCACAGTGCAAGTTAAAGAAAAAAAATAAAAAATAAAAATACATATATTAAAATACATATTATACACATACATATATTGTATGTATATATATGGTTTAAAAGAATAAACCATAAGGGGAAAAAAAAATCCCAGCAGTTTGAGAAGCCAATGTGGGTGGATCACTTGAGCTCAGGAATTTGAGACCAGCCCAGGCAATATGGCAAAACCCCATTTCTACAAAAAAATACAAAAATTAGCCATGTTCGATGGCATGAACCTGCAGTCCCAGCTACTCAGGAAGCTAAGATAAGAAGATGGCTTGATCCTGGGCCAGAGGTTACAATAAGCCGAGATCACGCCACTGTGCTCCAGCCTGCGCAACAGAATCTGCCCCTCTCTCAAATACAAAATAAAAGGGCTACCAATTGGGAGTGAGAGATAGAACAAAGTGAAATAGGAAAAGATTACTCTAAGTTTAAGCTTATATATTTTACTTCCAAACCATGTAAATATTTTATATAATAGTATAACAAAACCAAAATGTTACAGGAAAACTCTAAAAACCAAAACAAAATAAGTAACCATAATTTTATATCAAATTGGTGGTATAACAATCCAAAGAGTATTTCAAATGACTATAACACAGAAAATTGGCTCAATCCTTGGGATCATCATTTTTGTTTTCAGTAATAACATTGTTGGTGGCAGTGTTGACAGTAATTATAAAAGTATTGGTGTGGCCGGGCGCGGTGGCTCAAGCCTGTAATCCCAGCACTTTGGGAGGCCGAGGCGGGTGGATCACGAGGTCAAGAGATCGAGACCATCCTGGTCAACATGGTGAAACCCCGTCTCTACTAAAAATACAAAACATTAGCTGGGCATGGTGGTGCGTGCCTGTAATCCCAGCTACTCAGGAGGCTGAGGCAGGAGAATTGCCTGAACCCAGGAGGCGGAGATTGCGGTGAGCCGAGATCGTGCCATTGCACTCCAGCCTGGGTAACATGAGTGAAACTCCGTCTCAAAAAAAAAAAAAAAAAAAAAAAAAGTATTGGTGTGTACTGTAGGATTAAAAAGTCAATGTTAATGCCTTGAGAACTTGGATTTGTTTTCAGTAGGAAGGAGGAAGAAAGTTGTGAGAGAGAAAAGGTTATATTTAAAAATCCTGTAGACGTAAAGTAAATAAATTTCAACTGGACTTACCACTATGAACTCATGTTTTAATTGAGAGAGAGAGAGAGAGAGAGAGAGAGAGAGACTGTGTGTGTCTATGTGCGAGAGAGTGTGAGAGAGCGAGAGAGAGAGAGAGAGAGTGTGTGTGTGTGTGTATTTATTTCCCAGCACTATCCATTGAAAAGGCCTGGAAACAAGGACCAACCCCAACAGCAATGAGTACAGGCGACAGGACTGAAGAACAATTTCCTTTACAAAGGAATCGGGGCTTCTTGGACAAAATGGCTAATTTCAAGTTTGTGCCATAAATTGCACAACAGGAGTTCTGATCGCCTTGTTATGCCAGAAAGCATAGAAACT